CCCCCTCCCTATCCCCGTCACCTCCCCCAGCCCCCTCCACCCCCTCCCTATCTCCATCACCTCCTCCTCCATCCCCCTACACTCCCTCCCTATCTCCGTCACCCCCTCCTCCAGCCCCCTGGCCCCGTGAAGTGGGTGAGAGTGTGAGAGAGTGTGTGCGGGTCGTGGATCGAGTGAGGGGAGGCCGGGACTCACCGCCAGGCACCAGTGTACACCGAGGTGGACCGGCACGAGGACGATGTCCATCGCAAACACGTCCACCTTCTTGGTCCAGCGCCTCACAGCCTGGTAGCCGTCGGTTCTGAGCTTGGGGAAGAAGAAGGTGTTGAAGGCGTGGACAGTGGGTAGGCTCTCCCTCGCACTGCGGCTCACCAGCAGGTTCATGTAGAAATTAATCACCTGGAGGAGAGAAAGAGAGAGAGAGAGAGAAAGAGCGAGAGGGAGAGAGAGAGAGGGACAGCGACAGAGAAAAACAGACAGATAGAGAGAGAGAAAGAGCGAGATAGAGACAGAGAGAGAGACAGAGAGAGAGACAGAGAAAGAGAGAGACAGAGAGATACAGAGATAGAGAGAGAAAAACAGACAGAGAGAGAAAAACAGACAGAGAGAGAGTGATAGAGAGATAGAAACAGAGACAGAAAAACAGAGGGAAAGACAGAAACAGAGACAGAAAGAGAGTGAGAGAGAAAGCGAGTGAGAAAGAGCGAGAGAGAGAGACAGAGAGAGAGAAACAGAGAGAGAAGGAGAGAGAGAGAAAGAGCAGAGAGACAGGGAGGGAGGGAGAGTGGGAGGGAGGGAGAGTGGGAGTGAGGGTGAGGGAGAGGCGGACGGAGGGGGAAAAGAGAGAGGGACATTGAGAAGCAGCATGAGGGGGAACACCACCGCCCCCCCCCAACTCGCCTGGACGGGGTGCGACTCCGACAACACTCGAGGAGCACGACACCGTCTGGGGACAGAGCGGCCCCTCACCCCCTCCCCGTTCGATCGTCACCATCTCCCCC